CTTTGGTGATTGTTGAACACTAATGCGTCCTAAACATGGCATTCGTAAATCACAATCAGTTCAATGAATAAAATTCTTTTCGCGTACGGATCATGCCTGGTTTTGAAGTTCTTTGCCAGATGCAGCTTGCCCAACAAAGCAAAAATCTGCATGTTACATTGGGCCAAGGAGCGGATGTAGTGGGCCAAGATGCTTCTTACATACTAAACGTTTTACATCCAATATCCGCTGAAGACTTTGTTTTTTCGAGGAATTTAGTTGCCCGGGTGTTTTGTAGGATTCGGACGGTCGGTGCTATTCAGATTCACTAGCCGACGTGCCAGCAATGCTGCGAAGGAAAGGAATTGATCCAAAAAACATCCCATTTTCAATGGATGAAATGAGAAGAAATATTGAGAAGGTGAGGTTTCTTCAACTACTGGTATTGAAAGATTTCTCCAATTTGGGCATACAGTTTTTCGAGTTCAGAATTTAGACGCAGTCTTTCACGGACGTGTCTTCACAGGTTCTTTTACATTTGTGTTTTAGCACTGAATGTAAGTCTTTTTGCACGTGTCCTGTTTTGATGTTAGTTGTGATTCATTATCATTTTGGGTTAATATTGGACAGAAAAAAAATCACATTTTTAATTTAAAATTCTGTTTTCAGGGGCGCTATCGTCGGCTGGACAAGTTCCAGGATGATCTCTTTTTTCTCTTTGATATGGCCCTGGAACACACTCATTCCGATTCGCAGGTAGGGTCAAATTTTACATTTTTAGTAGCCAGCTTCTTGCAGTACCTGCCTTTAAAAACGTATAATAACAGAGTATGAATAATGCAGGTGCGCTTTATGTTGAATAATATTAATTTGCGTTTTATAGTTGAAAATGACATATGATTTATCATTCAAATCTTCATTTTTTGGTTTTTTCGGTCTGAGCAAAATTCAGACTGTTATGAATTAGTCAGCGTTTTGAAAATTTAGATGTTCGAAGACACAGTCGAACTGTGGATGTTCTTTTTGAAAACTCGGGATGATTTAACGCGTACAACGTTGTTGTCGCCGGCACGCTGGTATTCCGAGCAGATGTTATTAGAGCACGTGAATGAAATTCGAAAGCGCAAGCTCGTGGATGAAGCGAAAGATGTTGAAGAGGATAGAAAATGTGAAACACTGGGACCAAAAGCGGTAAGTGTGCTTGTTCGTTGAAGCTTGCTCAGTTAAATTTTACCGCTCTTAGTTCCAAATTTCCTTGTTTTGCTGCCTTTTTGATGCCGTCAGCACCGGCATTCGTCGTCGCTGTTTTTTATAAAAATGTATTTTTGTTTTACGCCAGTGATCTTCCTAGCCATCTACTGCAGCCATTGGAATTCAAGTAAATGCAGGTACTGAAAGTGACTGTTGGGGAGTCTCAGCTCCTGTTCTACATCTGTTGGTTATTTGTTATGTTTCAGTCCAAAGTTGCCTATCTCCAGAAGCACAGAAAATTTTCTTAACCAGTGATTTTCGCTATTTTGTGTTGGGTAACTGTGATGGGCAGTGTGAAAGTTTTTTCTTTTCTTCCCTGTTTTATTTTGCTCTGATTTATCCAAACAGGTGTTGCATATGGTTGGAATATCGGGAAATTACCGACTGACATGCATTTGTTGGTAATGTTACTACTGGACTGTTTTCAACCACTGCGTACATCTCTGCCAGCTCTTTCCGGTCCTGATCTGCATGTTTTCAATAGTGTCCTCTGTTTTTTCGATGTTTTTTGGTCAGCAGTTTGCTGGCGCAAATGGTTTAGTGACTATTTTTGATCGAAGACCTGCACGTCAAGGGTCGAATAACGCCGCGAAAGAGAGATTCGTTCGTTCCATGGCGGCACTGTTCGGTTATCTAAGTTTCTTGTAAAATGTAGTTTTACAGATAATGGCAGTTTGACTGCGCACTGTTTCAGGATGGCGATGTTGATTTGGCGACAGCTGGTCAAGGAGGCGTTGTATACCGAGTTAATGATTATGCGTACGTTGCGCCGGCCAGTGAAGACACAGTTGTGCAGCGACATATCATGCGAATTGAACGGCTCTATCGTGACAGTGATGGGCAGACATTTGCTCGTGGCGTGTGGTGC